GTCCAACGTTGCCCCTGCTTTTCCTCCGGCTCCCCACATATCTGAAAAAGGACTTTTTATTGTCCTTGATGCTCAAAGCTAGTTGGAGTTCAGTTGCAGCCTTGGCTTTCCTGGTTTGCTCCTGCAGGACTGGACCAGTGCAGAATATTCCTCCTTGGAGGTAAATCCCATCCTCCATCCTTTGTAGGCCTTTCTTTTTAGCCTCAGGAGGTCTGCTAGGTCCCTGGAGAGCCAGGGGGGCTGCTGTGCCCTCTTGCTGCCTTTCCTCCAAGATGGAATAGAATTAGCTTGTGCATTGAGGATCACTCCCTTGAGGAGCAACCACTCTTCCTGAACTCCCCTCCCCGAGGGATCATGGTCCCTTAGGGCCTCACAGACAAGCCTCCTGAGCTTGTCAAAGTCGGCTTTCCTGAAGTCAAGGACTTCCGTGTTGCTGACTGACTTGCCAGCTTTACAGCAGATGGTAAAAGTGATCAGTTTGTGGTCACTGTCACCCAGCTTCCTAACAATCACTAGGTCGCCGAATAGGTCATCCCCAGTAACCAGTACCAGGTCGAGCAGCGCTTTACCTCTCGTTGGCCCATAGACTTTTTGAGTCAGGTAGAGGTCATCCACGCACGATAGGAAGCTTTGCGACCGCTCGGATTTTCCTGAGTGATCCTCCCACGAGATGTTTGGGTAGTTGAAGTCACCCATGACAACCATGGCCCTGGAGCATGTGGCCTCAGCCAGTTCCCAGGTAAACTGGTCAAGCTCTTGACTTGGGTGGGAGGTCTGTAGTAGACTCCCACTGTTGTGTCCCCTGTGCCATGTTCCCCACGGATTTTAACCCAGAGGGTCTCCAGTCGTCCACCCTGGTCGCCAACATCAGATTCTAGGGACGCGTAGCTTTCCTTAACATAGACAGCTACAACCCCGCCCCTCTTATCTACTCAATCTCTCCAGTACAAGGTATAGCCGTCTATACCCGTGGTCCAGTCATGGGTGGAGTCCCACCAAATCTCCGTTATCCCTATGATATCATAATTGTTGGTGTTAAGCAGGAGGATGAGTTCCTCCTGCTTATTCCCCAAGCTCCTGGCATTGTGTACAGGCAGGCAAGTGTCCCCCCTTGGGGGCTCTTGCCTTGCCTACAGATTGTACCAGGGCTGGGGCAGGGGCAGGGGCAGAATCCCTTAAGTGCCTTGGTCTGCTGGCTTTGCAAGGGTTGCTCAGCGGGCCAGCAGTGGCAGTAGTCACCATTCCTGCAAAGGGACACTATGGTCTTCTTAAAAACGAAAAAAGAGGTACACGCACAGTGGAAGCTAGTGATGATCCTCAAGGTGGAAGCTAGGGATGGACCTCAAGGAGGACTATATAACAGCGGCCAACATTTCTAGGGAAACGATCAGAAAAGCCAAGGCAGCGATGGAGTTTAGGTTAGCCACGGGAGTCAAGGACAATAAGAAGTCCTTCTTTAGGTATATAGGCAGTAGAAGGAAAACAAATGGAGGTGTGGGACCCTTGCTTAACACCTCAGGACAGCTGGTAACTGACATTCAGGAAAAAACCGAACTCCTGAATGCCCACTTTGCTTCGGTATTTCACTGGACCATGGAGAAAGTCAAGCGAGACAAGGCTCATAGGGGGCATGCCGGGACTGTCAGCCTCTCCACTGTGGTTGCTGAGCGGGGGCAATACCAACTAGAAAAGCTAGACGTTTATAAGTCAGCAGGACCGGATGGACTCCATCTGAGAGTGCTGAAGGAGTTGGCTGAGGTCATCATGGAACCCCTGGCAAAGCTCTTTCAGAATTTGTGGTGCACAGGGGAAATCCCTGAGGACTGGAAGATGGCCAACATTATGCCCATCTTTAAGAAGGGGAAGAGAGAGGATCTGGGCAACTACAGACCAATCAGCCTAACCTCTATCCCAGGGAAAATCCTGGAAAAGCTCATTAAAGTATCTATGTAAAATACGCTTGTGGAAGGTAGGATTCTGAATGACAGCCAGCATGGCTTTGTCACTGGTAGGTCTTGTCTTACCAATCTCATCTCCTTCTCTGACCAGGTCTGTCGTCACCTGGACATGGGAGACGAGGTAGACATTATATACCTAGACTTCCAAAAGGCTTTTGATCTAGTATCCCATGATATCCTTGTGGGAAAACTGGAAGATTGTGGGCTCAGCTGCTTGACAGTTCAGTGGGTGGGAAACTGGCTACAGGGTAGGACCCAGAGAGTTCTCATGAACAGATCTGTGTTGTCTTGGAGTGAAGTGGCTAGTGGCATCCCTCAGGGGTCCATGCTTGGACCAGTGCTTTTCAACACCTTTATCAAAGATTTGGATGGGGGAGTGAAAAGCTTACTGGCCAAGTGCGTGGATGACACCAAGTTATGGGACAGTGTGGCTATGCCAGAAGATAGGTTGCTGACACAGGCAGACCTAGACAGGCTCAAGAGTTGAGCAGACCAGAACCAGATGAAGCTTAACACTTCCAAATATACGATGCTCCATCTAAGGGAAAATAATCCTCAACATACATACAGGCTCGGAGATGACAGCTTGACCTGCACCATGGCTGAAAGGGACCTAGGGGTAATGATTGACCACCACATGACCATGAGCCGTCAGTGCGATGAGGTGGTCAGCAGGACAAACAACACGTTGGCATGCATCAACCAATGCATCTCATGTAAATCTAAGGAAGTGATACTCCTGCTGTACTTAGCACTGGTGAGACCGCAGTTGGAGTACTGTCCAGTTCTGGGTGCCGCACTTCAATAAGGACGTAGAAAGACTTGAGAAGGTCCAGAAAAGAGCCACACGTATGATCAAGGACTTGCAAGGCAAGCCATACGAGGAGAGGCTGAGGGACCTGGGCCTGTTTAGCCTAAAGAAGAGAAGGTTGAGAGGGGACTTGATAGTGGCTTACTGCTATCTCAGAGGAGTGCATCAGGAGCTCGGTGAACAACTGTTCACTAGAGCACCCCTGGGGAAGACCAGGACCAATGGATACAAACTCCTGGAAGGTTGCTTCAGGCTTAATACCAGGAAAAACTCCTTCACAGTCAGGGTGACTAGACTGTGGAATAAACTCCCTCCAGAGGTGGTACAGTCACCTACCCTGGAGGTTTTCAAGAGGAGAATGGACAGTCACCTCGCTGGGGTCACCCCAGTTGTCTTCCTGCCTAGAGCGGGGGAGCTGGACCTGATGATCTGCAAGGTCCCTTCCAGCCCCTAACAATCTATGAATCTATGAAATGCATCCAAATCTCCACATGGC